TAATTCCCAACAAACTCTACCATACATCTAACTATAATGACTACGCTGTATTCTCACAGGTTATTAAAACTCTATTTAATTCCCAACAGACTCTACCATATATCTAACTATAATGACTACGCTGTATTCTCACAGGTTATTAAAACACTATTTAATTCCCAACAGACTCTACCATATATCTAACTATAATGACTACGCTGTATTCTCACACTATCTTCTACTCACTTTGTTTGGTATTTTCTGAAGCAAATGAAGAATCCAGCGAAGGACAGATATCCTGGTTTGCATGGATTCATGTTCAATTTTATTTGTTAAAACCATAACTAAAGATTTTGAATCTAATCCACTAGGATCAGACAATTTTTCTTCATTTGTAGAGTTGCCTTGCAATTCACCACCACCAGACTTTTCCTTTGACTCAGTGGACAGGTCATGGTCATCTTCTTCAATGATCAAAGTTGTCAGGCTGTTGTTTACTACTTTAGCCATCTCTCTAATATCTATACATCTGTTAAGGATATTGTTTATAATGTAAATTATCTTTCTAACACACATTAGTGTGCTAAAAACACTGTTTGTAATGTTAACTATATTTTTGATATAACATTAGTGTGCTAAAAACAGTATTTGTGACATTACATATATTCTAATGTATAGTAACACGTTAAAACAATGCTTATAGTGATAGCCATCTCTTTAGTGTAGTCCAATGTTAATGGTATCATAATGACATACATGCATATGACAGGGTTTGGAACTTTATTTTTTTCTAAGCTAAATGGAGGAATTTCCTGCATATTTTTAATAAAACTTATATTTTCAGACACAAAGTTTTATTACAATATATAATATTAACTTTTTTTTCCCATTTCCAACTGTACTTGCTTTTTGTTTTTTCAGTTTTGATGAAGTGTTTTTTTATGGCAGGACTTTCACTACATTATATAAACTGACATGTCCCAATACTTCACACTCCAGTTTACCACAATGTTGTATATACTGGTACAGGTTTAGCATCAGTTATAAACTGACATGTCCCAATAACAAAGTGTTAGATACTTCACACTCCAGTTTACCACAATGTTGTATATACTGGTACAGGTTTAGCATCAGTTATAAACTGACATGTCCCAATAACAAAGTGTTAGATACTTCACACTCCAGTTTACCACAATGTTGTATATACTGGTACAGGTTTAGCATCAGTTAATTCTTCATCCTGAAGTACTCATTCAACTGACTGCTCATCCAGTTAAAATTCAATGTGTGTGCGTGTCAGAAACTTTTAATGATGCTGATGCTTAGAAATACCGATTATTATACAATACACTCTTAGCCAATGAGGATCACTTTAGTTCTCATGGTTGTTCAAATTTACATATTCATAAAGTGTTAATTATGTCTAATATGTGAATTTTTGCCTATTGTAAGTTACCATTTTTATTAGAATTAATTTGTGAAAGACCTAGATGGTTGTGGTTTTATTTGCAGATTGTGTGAAAGTCAGATTACACAGCTCTAAATTATTATCTTGGGAGGTGAATCATATTTTTAGAAGTTTTCTAGAAAAACTGGGAGACTTGAAAGTTCCAAAAAAAGTATAAAAATAAAAACTCTGTAAAGATACTTTTCTTGCTGTCATCATCATGTCCTAAGTTTGGTAGAACAGCCTGAAGAATGCTGGAAACAAATGGAAGAAGTTTTCGTCTCGCAAGATTGATGAAATCTTTCAGCCACATCAATGCAGTAAACTGGACTAAGTTTGCTGGATACAAACAATAATTAACATTATAACGAAATATTATTACAAGAAAACCAACACGTACATTAGTTATATACATATGTCACAAAACTAAAAGTAGAAAGACAATAATCCAATTAGTTGATGAACATTCACACCTACAGAGCTAGTAGCTTGTTTTGTGTTGAATAAAAACAGTGGCGAGTAAAGAATTATACAATGAAGCCTACAAGTTTTTACATTACACCACAATATAAGGCCTAATGTATTTGTTTACTTCACTTTCCCAAGCAGTACTGATGAGCTATGAATTTAGTAAAACAAGTCTACTACAGAGAGTATCAAATCAAAGAACAGACCGTGCCTCTACATCATTCATGAATTCTTCCTCCACAAAAATGACATGCTTTGGTGAAGAAACAAAAAAAAATCATATATACATTACCAAGTAATATGCTGAATAACAATGAATAATTAATTGTAATGCCACATGTTGCTCAAACACCTAAAGTATTTTAGGTTATTAGCAATGAGTAAAGTACTTAACATCAAAGCCTACAAATAGGACTGGCTGTTGCCATTTCAAAATCATTTCTAATGTATTTAGCAAAGGTATCTTTTCTTCTTGCAAAGTAGTTATAAAATGTCCATTCTTATGAGTATAAGTTCAAATATAATGAAAGAAGGCACTGAAATACACATGTCATAAGTAACAGGTACAGAGAACTTAAACAGTGGAATACAAAGAAACACTTTGATACTGATTCTTTATAAACTTGAAAGTTAATAAACTTTGACTTAGTTTTATAATATCCTGGAACTTACCAAGCTACAATAACAATTAGCAATAAAATCGTTTTTTCAAATGGAAAAATAAATAATAATAAAACTGAAACATACCAGTAGACCCCGAGTGCTTGGCTAAAATTGATACCATTGCTGTAAAGTCTACTGTCTGTGGATTTTTATTGATATTTCTAAGGAAACTTCCAAGCACAGTTTCACACCTACAAATATTTGCAAAATAACTAGTGAATACCATATAATAACATTTTATGTATTGTTTAAACTTATCTGTTGAGTTAAAACTTTACACTTGAGGTTTAAGCATTTTGCAAGTCTTTTAATAAGATTTTTCTTACATTTTCCTGATCTCTGTTGTGTTATCATCTAATATTTCAAAGAGGCCATCCAAGATCTCTGGGAGAAATATCACCATATCAATGTCAGGAACGTCATTCAAAGTAGAAACCTAAGGGGAAAAGAATTAGAAAATCTTCAATGTTTAATGAAACACAACAACAGTCTGTATTTTTTCAACAATTGTGGTTAACAATACTGCTCATTTATTTCAAAGCTGAAACATATATAGGTAAAACTTTACAAACATGAAAAGCCATTAAAATCTGGTCTAAGCATGTTTCCCACACCTTAGGTGGAATGAAATTCCCTAACCAAAATATGTTATTCTCTGACCATTTGATCTATGCTTGTAATGTATCATTCAATTATTACCTATACCTCTCTATAACAAGTACCACTTCCCACGGGTATAAAACCATAACAAGTACCACTTCCCACGGGTATAAAACCATAACAAGTACCACTTCCCACGGGTATAAAACCATAACAAGTACCACTTCCCACGGGTATAAAACCATAACAAGTACCACTT